ACCTGGTTTTCGCTGAAACAAACTCTCCTTTTTAACTTGGGTCTTCTTTAGAGAAAAGGAACAGAACATGTTTCTTTTTTTATATATAGAATAAACTTTGTTTTTATTATAGACATGGATCAAAAATAAAAGTTTTTATGTACATATGACATAGAGTGCCAACGTGAGGCTTTTAGATACCATGGATAGACATGTTGTTGGAAATGAAAGGAGATGGGGTTAGGTTGGTCGTCCTGGCACTGCTGGAGGGGGTCGCCTAGTGGAAACAAAACAAAACAAAACTAACAAAAAGAAAAAACACAGATGCAGAGGACGAAAACAATGTTTAACATAAAAAACAAATCCAAAAAAAAAAGAGCATGCAAAATTATCCCACAAACATCAAAGTCAAATCAGACGACAAAGCATGCAGACACACAGGGTCCTGAGAGAATGCCACATGGCAGAGGGGGCTGCTGCCAGGGCTTTTCCTGGCCACCAGCAGTGTGCTAGGGACGGGCCATTTGAGCCCGCTCCAAAATCTTAGTGTTTGGTACCACGGGATGATGAAGCCATGCAGTCATGTTCAGGAGACCTGGGAACAGGTACAGGGCCAAATTCCTTCATAACCTGAGCGTTTGTTTCCCAACCCCGACTCGGTGACATTGCGTTATTTCCAAAGGGTTCAATCAATGGTGTGAGGTCTCCATAGGGGGAGAGGGAGTTGATGCAGAAATATGACAGGTGACATTTTTTTTGAAGATGAGGGAAATTAGAAGGTGTCAAGGGATCCAGTGGAGCTATGTCATCACAACGCAGGAGATGTTGGGTCAATCTTGGAGAAAAGGATTTGTAAATAAGGATTTGTCCCAGGTGAATATCCTGGTGTGGCAGCCTTTCCGGGCCCAGGGACTCTACAAGGCGGGGTCTGGTCCACATGGTGACCCCAGGATTTTGTCAGATTTCCCTCCGTCTCAGAGCGGGGTACCACTGAGGTTCTGACTGACTCTGAACTGGGTCCACTAGGGTCAATGAGACTGGGTTTGCTGCGCTTTCTCCGTGTCCCTAGCCTGGCTTGCATCTTGTCATGCCCACGGGCTGTGAAGTAAGGTTTCAGGGCTCTGTTTCATTTTGACATCAGCCTCTCTGGATGTTTCGCTAGAGAGAAACTCTACACTGCAACGCACAGCTCTGTAAGTAGGAACACGGCAGGCCCATGAAGCTTTCCCGCCGGTTTCCAGCAGAAGCTGTACTTCAATTTCTTCTTTCTAAGCAAGCCGGTAATCAACTCAACATTACAGCAAGCCATAGAGCTGTGAGGTCAGCTCAGTCAGCACCCTACTCTCTGTGGGGCTTCTTTCTGGCTACCCACTGGGTGTTCAACAACATACTCACTTACTCTTGTGACACGTCAGTGAGTGGAGCAATGAGGTCTACAAAACACAAAAACACAAAAACAAAAACAAACTTCTTTTTCCTCTTCTACGTCCAATGGAGCCAAAATGACCAGGCTGTTTCTGAGCCGTGGTTTAAAAAAAAAAAAATGCTCTTACCTTCCCCCAAGTCCAAGACCAATTTTTCTCTGGTCCAATTTAAGCTGGCTACCCTAAGGAGGCCTCCAATCCATATAAATGATGAAGGACTTGTTATTGGTACGTAACCTTTCAACTCTGGGGGGTCTGCGAGCCTTTAGCTGCTGAGATCCAGGTAATGGGTGTCTCTGGTGTTTTCATGAAGAAAGTGTAATTAAATTCCAGTCAGGCTCGATGAGATTTATCACCTGCCCAGCAAACAGAAACTATTTTTGAGCTCTGAAGGGGCTTTGGGACACGTTAATGACCTCAGCAGGGTGGGGAGGTGAGCCATTAAACTGAGCGGAGAGTCCACAGAGCTGAAGGGACGTTCTGTTTGCGTTTGCCAAAGCGCTTTCCTGTTGGAGCCAGTTGGTGTTCTAATCCAGAAACAGGATCAGAAATTCTGTGTCTCGGAATATATTGCGCCCACAGCCTGAATGTTTGCTTCCATCCTCAGAGGGACATTTGTCCCCTCAGACAGCCCCTGTCTCTGCCTCTTCACTGACCCTGCTATCTAGCTTCCCTCTCGTTGCCCAGGAAAGCACTGATGGTGACACCACACAGTGGCTCCGAGTTACTTCTCTCACGAATCTCGGCAGCTGGGGTGTTGCTACTTCTTTTCCAGAATGTTTTATATTGCTTACACTGTGCTGAAGTGCTTGAAGGCAAGAACTGCAAATTTTTGGATGTTTTACGTAAAGACTTAACAAAGGTACCCTCAGACTGTTGCTAATTGTGAAAAGTTGGAGAACTGAATTCAAACACTGACTTGCTAACAAGTTTTACAGCTCATCGTAGCAGTATTCACCATACGAGCACATCTACCTTTTCAAGATTATCATTTCAGGTTATACCTTCTTAAGCTTTCTGAAAAATCACAGAATCGTTTGGCCAGAACAGAAAGGTAAGGAGACAGGAAAAGCTGTGTGTGGAACATGGGCATGATTCCCATAGAAAAGACTAGAATATTGATAAGAAGGATGAAATCACCCCCATTCTCTTGGCTCCGCCTCAATGCTGCAATCCGGTCCTAGGGGGACATTCCTCTGGCAAGGTCCTTCCTTGGGAGGGTCTTATTCATAACTTTTTTCTTTTCTGTTAGAGTCTCCCCAAACATCCTCCGCTGTTTCTTTGCCCATCATTTAGATAACTTAATATCCCAGAGCACCGGGTGAGCCCAACGGCTTGGGGAAGAGGGACAAGAAAGGCTGTAAGAATGGGCATGCTTCTCAATTCTTCCCCGATGATCTTTCATTTGAAATCAACCCTTTATAAGGATAAAATGGGGTCACGTAATAAATTTAAAGGAGCTCTTTCTTGGAGAGGGGAGGGAGAAAAGGTAACGTCTATAATGATCTGGCTCCTCCTCTAATCTGCTTTCATGCCTCCTGTTCCTATGCGACCTTCCTTGCGGCTTCGGTTTCAGACCCTCCTGTGTCAAAGCTTAAGGAGGACTGTCCCAAGCTGGGAGCTCCGATTGCTCGTACAGTTGATTTTATCACCCAACTGTCACCACGAGTGACAGTCTGTACTGGGATGATCACATCCAGTGCCGTCTCCCTCCAGCCTGACACTGTGTTTGGTGAGGCACGCACCTCAGGACACGAATCATGGGAGATGCTCCGTGAACAAAGCATCGGTGGCCAGATGAGTCTGAGAAACACGTAGACACTAACCCTGGCTTGGAGATTCACAATGCAACCTGAGAGCAAAGCTTCTGTGAGTGACAGCTTCTCAGCATGAGGCTGCCACCGTGGGAAAGGACACTAACAAATGACCTTAAAGATGGCAATGCCAGGTGTGTATTGAGGCCCTAGAAAGTAGGGGATGACACCCATCCAACCCAAACACCAGGTATGGCTCTCAGAATGAAATTTATAGACCCCAGTGGGAAAACAAGACTTTTGAAAATGAATTAAGCAGCTATTGACAGGGATACCAGGACTATTTTAAAAATGCAAATGGAGCCCCTTTCTTCAGCTGCCGCTAAGGTGCTAGGTCCTTCCCAGGAAGCTAAGGCTGCGTTGGGGTGAGGCCCTCACTTCATCCGCGCCCGGCAGCGCTCGCCCAGCACTCGTCTGCACCATGGCCTCCGTCTCGGAGCTCGCCTGCATCTACTCGGTCCTCATCCTGCATGACGATGAGGTGACAGTCACGGAGGATAAGATTAATGCCCTCATTAAAGCAGCCGGTGTAAATGTTGAGCCTTTCTGGCCAGGCTTGTTTGCAAAGGCTCTGGCCAATGTCAACATCAGGAGCTTCATCTGCAATGTAGGGGCTGGTGGACCTGCCCCAGCAGCTGGAGCTGCACCAGCAGGAGGTCCTGCCCCCTCCACCACTGCTGCCCCAGCTGAGGAGAAGAAAGTGGAAGCAAAGAAAGAAGAATCTGAGGAGTCTGATGATGACATGGACTTTGGTCTTTTTGACTAAACCTCTTGTAACATGTTTAATAAAAAGCTGAACTCTGAAAAAAAAATGCAAATGGAAATTGGCCAAATAGTGATAATAAGGTCCTCTTGGTTTGGGTAATGATCATTCGAAACTATTCTGAATCTAGAGTCACGCAGTATAGCGCACACCCTCACCTACACAACACACAACACGAGCGCACAGCATGCTTCTCGGCCCAACTCTTCCAGGAAGAAGCTTTCTTTGAAGGCATTGATAGCTCCACTCATGGAAGATAGGTAGAGATGAGAAAGTAATTGCAACAGGGAAGTGTGACTGCACACGAGTCTTTCCAACTCATCTTTTCGCAATGAGCGTGTCCTGAACACAAAGGGAAAGTAAGCCAACATTTCTCTCCTCCTGTTCCCTTCCTGTCTCCCGCTTTTGGGTGGCACGATTTGGGACTATGCGCTTTGGTAAGGGACCAGGCCTAAAAATTCTTCATGAAGATTCTTGGCATGTTCTTATAAAATGCAGTTAGGACGAGGATGTGTGTAATTACTGAACACTCTTCCATTTTCTTAATAGTGGGGGAACTTCTCCCTTTAACGCCCAAAGAGTGAGCAATGGAGGCCAACTGTTGAGTCAGGAACTCAATTATTTTCTGTAAGAAACGCCTTCCATGGACCTAACATTAGGGAAAAGCATTCTTCCTCCTTCTACAAACATTTTCTTTTCAATAGCAAATTGTCACAGTGACTCTTGGCAAGTGTCCCATCGCCCTCTTCAGCTGTCAATGGTGTGTGTCCTTCTTGAACCCAACAATGACTTAAAATCAGCAACCAAAGGTCTCAGACTCTCCTGCCTTTGAGTTTTCCAATTTGCTCCCTTTAAAAACCTCGTTCTTCCGCAGATTAACGACAGTAATGCCAAATGCTATCATTCTCCATGTTGGTAATGCTGGGCCAATTTGATCAAAAGAATTATACTTGGATGTCTCAGGTCTTACTGATGTGCATAGACATGACTCAAATAGATACAAGAATGAAGAAAGGGAAGTCCTTCAAGAAGTATCATTTATTTCAGGTTCAGGAATACAGCTTCACACTTTCACAATAGGTACATGTGACCTTCAAGAATGATACAGGCTTTAGGACCTGACTTTGAAAGTCCATTCACAGAGTCCATCCATATATCAGCATTAAGAAATCTCAGTGGCAAGAAGACAGTGGACAGTATTCTGGCTCAAATTAAAGAATCAACAGAGAAGACAAGATTTTACACCTGCACACTGTTTTTTCATAAAAATATATTTTAAAAAAGCAAAAGAGGAATTTGATTTAGAGAAGGGAGTAAAAATAAACAGAGAAGCAAGCAAAACAAAGGCTATACATACGAAATTCAACACAAATCAAGTAATGGTGGCATTTCTGGTGGGGAGGAACAATTTTTATCAAATGAGTAGCAGAGGATGCAAGAGGTCAGACAGAGTAATCTTTGTCCTCATTTAAAAAATAATATATACTAAGAACAGTTTGAGGGATTCATGGGTAAAAACTGAAAAAGAGATGAATGCCTTGAGCTGAGCCATGCATGAAATCCAAGACCAGAGAGGTGAGAAGTGTCACCAATAATATACCAGTATGAGCAGGTCTTGACAAACAGGAGACTCTTTCCTTGAGTTTCCTCTTTTTTGTTCTCACACATTTTTACACACATATACAAATAGCAATGCATATACTATATATGCTTCAAAATATCCTTAAACTTCACAGGACAGAGCACCACACAGCTTTAAACAAACCAACTCGGCAGGATGACTTAAGGTTTTCTAGAAGGCAACATTTGCACTTTTCAGAAAGGACTGGGTGATCAAGGGAAGTAATAATTGTTTCTCAGCAAGCATCTAGCCTCGTTCACATTAAACTCAGAGCTCACAGCTAGCAGTCCTCTTGGTGAAATGATACAAAACTCATGGCTGGAGTCTCGTATGTTATCTTCTTTCATTGAGTTCCACAGTTTAGAGACTTACTATGTAGGTTTAATTCTCAATGTTAAGGAGATTCCTGTCAATTTCAAATCATCATATTGTTTGCCTAATAAAAAATGTTCTCCTGAAAAAGAGGATGGATCACCTCCCTTCAAGGTATTAAGTAACTTCTCCCCTGCATGTTTAGCAAGTTCTCTCAGAAACATCCACTTCTATTATATTGCTGTATCCCTTTATTTTTTGACATTTACTGTAAAGTTGACTATGTAGACCAATGTAGCTTTTTAAGCTTGAGCTCAGCAATCCAAGAATAATTTATAATTCTCATCAGAGCTCTTAAAGGTAGGTTTCCAGATCTTACACTTCTTATCAAGCAACAACAGCAAAAGTAATTTCTTTTTAGACAGCAGCTGTGCGTTTAGCTACAAATGCTTGCGGATGTTATTCTAGCACATTGTCATGGTAACACTAAGCTTTGTGCCTCTCAGAATGAATACAATCTGGAGAAAATTTTGTGTGCCTCATGTATTTTATGAGAAATGGACCACTGTTATCATGTATTATAGCAGATTCTCCAAAGCTCCCTCTTGGACAAGCACAGTTTAAAAAATATATTCATATCCACACACACACACATATAAGTATTTACACCCACACATATACATATATATATATATATATACAATGCACATACCATCACACTCGTGCTTGTGGCATTTTAACAAGAACTTTTAAACATACCTACCCAAGGGGGCACAAAATACATGTTACTTACAGAAACAAATTTACTTTGTGTATACTGTATACAGAGACACATACCTAGAAAACGTGTTTGTAGACAGAAAAGATCAACAGTTATCACATACTGGTATTAGGTCCCGTTTCATATTTGAGAAGTATGGCTACAGTTTATACTCAAAGTCATAAAATTAACCTATGTGACTACTTTTTAATTCTAAGTTCAGGAGGCTTACAGTTATATCACAGGAACTGGTTTCATTATGTGTTGGAATAGAACGAGTTTGTATCTGAACACATAGGATATTTGCTTATAAACAGACCCTACCGCTCTTCTATGTTACAAAACACAGCTAAAAGCAATATTTAGGAGAGTAATCTTGGTAGATGGTGTCTGGAAATGCAGCGAAATCTGTTCTAAATCAATAGTGTCTCAATAACCTGTCCAAACTGAGTAGATGGTTATTCCCATTAGTCAATAAGCATGCAGGATCTAGCATGTGACAATAAAATAGTTACCCATCAAATAAACATATACAGTTTGCTTGCCCAAATCCTGAAACACTGCTTTATTTTGTTATACTAGACATGATGCTACATTGATTGCATGGACAGCATCAGAGTTCGGAGGAAGTTACACAAAAGACCTGAAGTGGGATGGGAAACACTCAGAAAGCTCATTGAGTGACATTCCCATCTTAGGGCCTGATATGAATGCTGCACGTGAAACTGGGCACACCCTAGCACTGCCAACCTTATTCACACTGACGTCTACTTTGTGCAAAAGGATGCAAACCCCTTGGGAAATGGGGTTCATCGTCACCGTGTGACACAGTCCTGCAGCAAACTGAATATATTCTCCAACATGGCTGCTGAAATTCCAGGGGAGGCTGGATTCTATTAGAAATAATGTACAAGTGAAATAGAACAAAAATGTACCCTCCAGGAGAGTCGGCTGGAACAGTGCAACTCTGGGATTATGGTCTGAGAGCAAACACCAAAGATGACAAATGCCATTGTTTATGACTGCATAAGATCAGTGGAAAGGAACTCGGAAAAAAAAAAATCTCCAATTTTCTTTGACATGGTTTGCGCTGATCTAAAAACACACCAGTGGTTATCCACAGCATTTTCCTTTAACAAAAGGAAATTTTTGAAATACAGCAAAACGCAAAACCACATAGAGCACAAAGCCAAACTCTGAAGTATATAATCCGTTAGCTGCCTATTTGAGAGAACTCAAAGGAAGAAGCAAAGGGGATCATAAAAGGGGGGATTTTTCTGGAAAGATCTCACTGTCCACTATTTATTTTACTATGGATGTTTACTTAATGTATTTCCATTTAGCTACGACATTATATTTAAAATACAGTATGTTTCTCACTCGTCTGTTCCATTCACAAAGAGTTAAATTTTTTTTTTCCCCCAATGAGAAAAAAATAAGATCTGAGAAGATTTAGGGCGGTATTCTTTATACAGCCACTTGGAGCTGAAGGTTGAAATGCCTTGTTTGTGAATCTTGTGTTCTCTGATTTTTGCCTAAGTAGACTAGCTGTCACCCTTTAGAATAAGTTCAAAACAATGCCATTCCACTTGGCAAGTGCTCTTTTTTAATAATGGTTGAAAGTTTTTACTTCATACTTTATGGGTGTCTGTTTTGGGTATAAACTACACAGGAAATTAAAGTTAAGTTAACATACAAATCAAGGCTGCTGCTTTCAAAGGGAGGCATTTCAGTTGGTGAAGCCTGATTTACTTCTGCAAATATGAAATAGTGTCGTGGGACGCCACTCCTCGGTGAGGACTCGGTCTGCTGTCTGGGAACAGTTAGCAGACAAAATCCCAGCTGACTTCTGGCTGTTTCTTCCATGCTAATCGTCTGGTCCTAGGGAGCCCAAAACTCAGCCTTGAGGCTGAACTATTAACCCCCAGGCTACACGGCTCTTGCAAATTTTGGAAATGTCAGAATTTGCCAATTTCCTTTAGATTTCAATGTCTGAATAACCGTTTTCTAGAATGGCCTGGGCAGAGACTCTGAAGTTGTACAACTATAAAAGTGTGAACCCTGCCCCTAAGCCACGGCGTCTCAAACTAAATGACTTCTCTTTGCATTCCAGGACCCATTTTTTAAACACGGTAAACCCACAGTCAGGCTCAAGGTTTATTAAGAGAGCCTGGGATGGAGGGAAAGTCACTTTACACCTGTTTGAGAGGTAGGATGCCTTTTTACATGAAGGAATTACGTATTAGCAGGGAGAGAAATATTTTTGCTCCCACCAACCAAATAGATAAATGAACTGGAGTTGGTGTCAAAGTGTAGTTAGCCGTGCCTAAAATTAGACCAATCTGAAAAAATAAGTAATTTCCACGTGAGCCTTTACTATGACCTGTAGGGAGGTGAGTAGCTAAGTGAAAAAAGAAATTACATATTTCCAGCTACTTCTAGAGATGAGATATTTTGCTTCTCCCTGGAATTCTGAAACTAACTAGCCAAATTTACTGACTGAAGACCAAAAAACAAGCTCTGATGTGCCCTTGAAGATGCTTCTAGCACGACGCAAAACACACTGGCAGCGTGGTTAAAAGCTCTCTAGAGTAAGCAACGCATTCACTTTTCCTCTGCAAACCACCTTGATTTTCTGGAAAAGTTTTAGTCTTAAAAAATGACTTCCTAAGCAGCCTTATGAAATAAAGAGGAAGGAAAGAGGACCCACATAGGTCACGGTGGAGGAGGCGGAAACGCCATCTCTGTCAGCCCGAGACAGGGACATGAGTGCGTGGCTGAGGTCTGAGCCTGCCATCGCATCTCTCTCAAGCTTTATATTTCACGGGCCATCTATCTGGTCGGGAGCCTGGGAAACTTGTCCAAAGCAATTTCAAATGTGTGCCAGGGCAGGCAAACGGTCCCCAAAGTACAGGGCTGCTATACACACCTACCTTGGTCAGTACAACAGATAGAGCCTCAAAGGGTCAGCAGTTTTCAAGAGTCAAACCCCAAAGGTTTGACAGGCCATGAGCGATGAAGGTGAGTGACAAATGCGTTAGTAAAACTGGTTACTTGCCTACTGACGTCCACACGGGCGACTACTCATGAGTTACGGCAACGGTTATCAAATATGTTGCTTTCGCATAATTCATTAGTGGTTAATTGACACGCCAGACACTTCGTTTAGTCTAACAGGGAGGATTCTAGTGGACGGATTATGGTGGGACGAGTTGGTGATGGGGGTGGTCTCCGGCTAGAAAGAGAGAAAGAGAAAGGCAAAGAAACAGGTAGATGAGCCAGCCGAAAGGCACGGAGAAAGAGCCGTCACCCACACGCTCATGCGCAGCCAGCCAGCAGGACGGGGTGTCACCTGCAATAGCATCACCCACACGCTCACGCGCAGACAGCCAGCAGGACAGGGTGTCACCTGCAATAGCTTCAACACCGTCATCTTTCATTTACCTAGCGTTTTTTTAAAACAAAAATGAGGTGTCTTTCTCATACACAGATCCTTCTCAAAATGGAAGTCATCCCTCCCAATACTAATAAAGATATTAAATCATTGAAAGGCCATCTGGAGTATACTGTGCATTTCGTGGGGAGTGGAGTATAATTGCGTAGAGTGAGCTGAACTGTTATATCTACTCTGGGAACTAATAAGGTGTCTTGGGCCTCAGAGGATGATTAGATTTAAGTTATTTTCCTTTATGTAATTATCTTCCTCTTTTTCTCCCCGTCAGGATATTAGTTATCACTTCTCATGGCCTCTAGCATTGGCTTTCTCCAGTTTGTTCCATATCTCACTTCCAATTTGCAGGGCACTAAAAAACCAGAGAACCAAGGTTTTTAAAGTTCTCTCCACAATAGGTGTAAATAGGCTGAGGGTGGGTGCCTGAAAGTTGTATCATTAGTAGTAGGTGACTCCCTTTCTGGTTGGTAATGGTGTTTCTGATAGCTGAGGGTGCTGAATAAACAAACTCAGGATAAGGAAATATTATTGTACCTGGGAATCTCAACTTGACCAAGCAATACTCTTTATCCCCCGAAATTCCACTTTCATTTCCCAAATGTAGTAACAAGTTTTTGTGTGTATACCTGAGTTTGTATGGAGTATCCTGGGGAGTCAGTTTTTATAACCAACACAATTCAACAAATTCTACAAATCGAAACCTTTCTTGTGGCTGAAACTTTCTCCTCGATTTTATCAGGGAGACCCCTTCTGGAATTATAGTCACAACGCGGAATTTTCTTCTGTATTGGAAACACTAAATCGATCAAATCAAATGTCTCTTCTTAGGTATGAAGAAGGGAAGTTAGGAAAGCTAAAGAAAATGACCATGAAATGTTTTTTGTTTTTTTGTTTTTAATCGCAAAGCTATAAAATAAAGTTAGATGGTCAAGGAAAAATCAAAGCAAAAGAGATCTTGCTGATTGATGGTACAAATACCAACTACGTGGGCACAAGCTCATAGATATCAGTAGAGTTTTTTTTGCCTCCTGCAGCTAACAAACGTCTACGTGGCATTAGAGGAAAGTGTATTCCAATTCAGCATCTTATACTAGTCTTATTATTAAGCAAGTTCTCAACTTTTGAAAGTGTAATTAGAGATACTTTATAGGCACTGTAACAAAGCTAAACCAATCGATACTAGCCATTTAATTTGAGTACACAAGTCTCTTTCTACAGAAAGGCTACTGGCTCCTGTGACCACCTGAAATGTGTTGGTCATTCCCTGCTGGGAAAAATCCTCCCATAATCCCTTTGTACTCATGACTGTGCAAAACACGCCTGCCCTTTCACTAGCATATTGCTCCTTTTCATTTAAAATGGCCATGTGTATTTGACTTACTTCCTGACTCTTGAACGGGCATCATTTTCTCCTGTGATGTAAAGGTTCCAGAGGTCAGAGGTCATGTCCACTTAGCGTGTTTCATACAGTGTGTAGCATGGTGTGACATCCTGTGTCCTTTTGTTCATCTGCTGGAGCTGCTCTTCACCCTTCAGGACTCACCTTGGGGAAGGTTTCTCTGACCTCCCTTCCTCTATCTTGACACAGCTGCTTCTATAGCTTGTCAGCATAACTCCATCAGTAATGTCACACTGAATCCTAACTGGGTTTATACGTTTCTCTCCCGATTAGAAATGGGCTGTGTCTTTCTCATCTTCATGTTCCTGCAGTGTCTACCGTAGTGCCTGTCATTCAGCCACTGAATGTTTGACTGAATAAATGAAAGTTACTCCCAGAAAGACACAACTGATCAATGCGTGTGATAGCCACTGAGCTTTCCATGACACAAAGGTTATTTGTTAGTAAATCATTGCTACGGCAAAACAACCAACCAACCAAACCAAAAAACCTACAGTGGGAGCTTGACAATACAATCATGTGATCAAAGCAGGGGCAAGTATGCTTTTAACTGTGGCACAGAAAACTGAAAAGTTGTAAAAGAACTTTTACCTTTAATCTCTAATGAGGTTAAAGGAACCAAAAATCAAGTGACGAGGATTGATGGGAAAAGTTCAATGGTGGGGGTAGAGAGCAGAAAGATTCAAATGCTCCGATTGCACGTAACTTCTCATCCATGTCCTCCCCAACCCTGGGACCACACGGATGGCACAAGAGAAGGACAAGCGTAATGGCAATTGCAGGAAGAAGGCAGGCAGGAGACCCAGAGAAGAGAGCCGCGGGCCCCATCTTTGGTTTGCCTTGGTCACCGCCGGATCCCAGAGCGTAGCATGCTCTTTGGCTCACAGCATTTTTCTTTTTTCCAAATAAACAAATCAGAGAGTCTATCCATTATGAGTGTTTTAAGGGTGTCCATTGGGCCTTGCTTTGCATCACAGGCACCGCATGTCTGGGTGGCGAATTCATGATTGAAAGAATGAAAGATAATATTGCCATCACGTCCTCTCAAAAATAATTACGGCATCTTTAAAATACGCCCAGGTTCAGGTTAAAGTAACCCACCTGTGTACTTAGTAATTCAAAATTTTAAAGAGCCCTTCAACCTGTTCTGGAAGAAAGGAGCATCATTTCAACATTTTTTTCTAACAATAAACCCCCAATAATCTGTATATAAAGCCCTACCGGAAAGCAATTCAAGAGGAGCATTAAGATGTTCAGCATGAATTTTCTTCATAAGTATTGCTAAGCTGTTGCCAACTTCAACGCCAGGAAAACATTCAAGGTTTACTGTTAAGGTTCGTTTCATTGGTCCAGTTCCTAACCATTCAAAGAGTTTCCAAAGACAATCACCTCATAAGACAGTTAGTTTTGGGCCAAGTGAAGTTATTTGTTTTGTACCCAATTTTCCTTAGTTGCTTTGTTTTAGTGATGGGCTTCATTAAGTAACCCATTACATTGAAATGGGGCATCTTGCATCACTTAGTGTTTATTGAAACACTGTGTTGTGTGTGGGCGGTTTATGGTTACAATACAAGAGCCATGTTTCTGCTTCCAAATCAAAGGGAAAGATGTAATACTGGAAGTCACTTTTGTAGCTGCAGTGACAGACTGTTTACAGTATTTTGGACAATGACAAATTTTGAAAGAAAGTCAAATGCTCACCCAGGATTGAAGGGGAGAAAATGGCTTCTCTGATAAGAGAGAAGAATGCGTGATTTGTCTGATTATCTCTCTGGATTGTCCTCTAAGAATGGAAGCATTGGCATTTCATCTGCTCTCCACTGGGTTGGCTGGTTCTGACTGTTCCAGATGTGAGGCCAATCTTGGCAGGGGCTGGGGGAGGGTCCAGTGGAGCCAACGACTTCGGTACATCAGCACATGGGGTGAGGTGAAAGCCCCCTTCCCTCTAGCTCCCTACTTCCTGGTAACATCACACTGATTACTGGAATGCCCTGCCCTATTCCTCCTCAGGACGGGAAGTGGGAACTACCTGACTGGCAAGTGTGTGAGCCAGCCTGGGTCCATGTCACTCGCTGTCCTCCCTCTCCCGTGCTCAAACCAAGGTCTCCTGACTTCCAGTCCAGGATTCTTCCTTTTAGCAATTACACTGGCGTGCCCCATGGCAAGGGTTCGCCAACTGGCCAGTATGTCTGAGTTCCCCAAAGGGCTTGTTAAAACAGGTTTCTGGGTCCCACACAGAGTTTCTAATGGGGTGAGGCATTTTTAGCATGTTCCCAGATGATGCTGACATGGCTGGTCCTGGGACGAGGATTTGAAAACCATGGTTCTAAGGCATAATATGTAATTTTGACCTTGCTTTATTAGCAATTCAATTCACTTGCCAGATAAAGTTCAAGTAGTAAGAGAAAGTGCTAGGAAAAAAAAAAAAGACCTTAAGAAGGATGAAGAAATGGTTGCAGAAATACTTTGATGTCTTTGGGAATTAGACTTAAGCATGGGTCAAATCTGTGTTAGGTTTATTTTGTGAAGACCAGAATATTATACGAGCCTTGCAGTAGTTTGCTGGTTGGTCATCACCAGGAGAATAACCACTTGCTTGGGAAGCTTTTTACTTATGAAAGTGGCAGCAGGCACAGAAAGCAAGCACTCTAGTGCGCACTACAAATTCTCGTTTTGGAGAGCGTATGATTAAGTCCAGCTTAATTAGCTAGGTGGACCCAGGTTTAAAAGAAAAAAAAAACCTCAAAGAAGGATAATACAATGACTGACACTTCTAGAGGGATGATATCTGCCCCAGAGAGTAGCTATTTGCATACAAAAGAATATGCAATCATAGGCTTTTTTTATAACACAAGTTCTACTTAGTAAATATAATTGAAGCTTTAAAATACAACTGTCTCAAAAATTAAATGGACATGTAGTTAGTTACACTTAGGATCCCGGGAGGGTTACATATCTCAGGTTTCTAGGATCCATGAGAATCTGATATCAACTCGCCCAATTTTTTATCTTATTGATGAAACAGGTCCAACAACAACAACAACAACAAAAACAAAAACAAAAAAGGAAGGGTTTTGTCTACTAAACCACAAGGAATAAGACACCTCCTTTCTTTTGGCTCTATCTGGTGAATTTCTTAGAAAACAAAAGTGAACACAAAGGGCTTCTGAGTTTTTTAAAATCATGAGCAGCTTCAGAGAATGGTGGCTCTGGTGGCATCAGCCGGCTGAGTTTGGGGGAGCCCACAGCCTCTCCCTCCCAGGAACTGAAATCCTTGCTTCTGCACGACCCTCCTGAATGCCTTACTCCTTGCATCATTTTCCAAAGTTTAAGGCATGTACGTGTATATAGTCTGTCATCAGAAGAACAATGTGAACTTCCTATG